CCGAGGCTCAGATAAAGCTGAGCAGATATCTGACAGACCTTGGCGACAAATCGTAGTTCTTGGAGGAAGATATACTGAAGCAATACTGAGGTTTTTACCTCGAATATTTACCTGACATGCGACAATTTCAATGCCTGTCACGGAAGGCCGATCGATTATATAAAAGGAATGGAGCTTATTAATCCCGAGAAGCACTCCTCCATACGAATCTGCTCGATCAAGGCGAATAATGTTAAAATCGTGGAAAGGGAGATCGGTGTCTGAAGAAAGCCATGTTTCACAAAGAGCAAATGCATCACAAAGTGAGTTTAGAACTAAAAAATTTAATGTGTCAAGTTTCGGTATAAGACTTCTACAGTTCCACTGAAGAACAGAGATCATATCCCCGACCTCATTCCGAAAATTATCCATCAAAGGATATGATCGATGCAAGGAAGGACCACGTAGAAGCTAGTTGCTTCAAAAGAGTTTTCACAAATGGTTATCAGAATTCTTAAAATATGTCAAAATGTGTGTGTGCACGTAATTGTTTGAAGCCTTCTCCGGAATCTTACTCAATTTTCTATGTTTGCTAATTTGAAACACATATGTGCTTTTCATTTTAATGTGAAGTTCAAGATAACCTGAATAATTTTCGATAAATTCAGAAAAAAAATCACAAGCATTCAAATTTTTTTGAGATTGTAGACTTAGAGCAGGTTGTTGTATTCTAAAATTTTGAACAAAGATTGTGTTCTCAAATCTACTATTTTTACGTTTTAAAAGTGGTACGCTTGACATGATCCAAATTGAACTTTCAAAATGACGTAATTCTACGGATTAGAGATTTTATTTATCATGATTTTTCATATTTTCTAAATTGAAATCATTTGTGAAGCGGTGCCGGAAAGGAAGTTACAAATAAGGTTTTAAAGGATCATATTTAGCCAGGTTTGAAAACGTGTTAGGATGCTGTATTTATGTTTTTAATCAAATTAAGTTGCGGATTTAAAAAAAAAAATACCGGTTTATATATAACATCTGAAAGAGCTTGGTTTTCTTTCTAACATAAATAGCACAACAGTATTTTTTTATCGATACCATCGACATTCATCTTAATTTCTAAATCAAGATTTTTTTTTAATTTTACATTTTAAACAGGCGTTTCTATACAAAGTCTTACCGAGGGGCGCTAAGATGGGGATTTGGTCTAATGTAATCGCACTTATTTAAAACAGTTTCAGTTAATGAAGATAACAAATAACCTCAATACAAGCTGAGCAATGCATTAGGTCCTAAGTAACATTGATCGATTCTCAATAACTTGGGTACTGAACCATTTCTTGTCGTGTTTGCCATATAGGGTAACCAACTTGAATTGGACCCCTACATATTTTGGACCCTTTTCATATATTTTCCTCGCTTACTGTCTAGTTTCTTCAAATTCATCTGGGTTGATGTTGTAATTACATTCTTTCAAGTACTTGCTATGTCTCAAGATCATTAGTTCACCTCAAATTGCTTACAATTGCTCAATTTATGCAGTTTTAGAAAATGTTATCGAAAAAGTTTCATGTTTCGACGTTTGTCAAGAGGAATCGGCGTTAGTGTACTTGTTTTAAATTTGGTCTAAAATATACAATTCAATGATTTTTTTTATCAAATCAGTTTATCTAACTTTGGAAGATGTATTTCACGTGTTTATAAAGATTTCACCTTAAGATTTTACTTAAAAAGTATTAAATAAAAAGTGTCCAAAAAAGATCGTAAAAAAATGTTACCAACTTATTTTGGACACTTATCAAATGAGAATCATCAAAAGAGCGACAAAAAAAAATTCCGGTTGGTCGATCGTGCTATTATCTCAGATTTCTGATTAAATTGGTAAGTAAATCAATCAAAATTATATGAATTCATTGTTTTTAAATATATTTCTTGTTTATCAGGCGATTCAAAATGGGAAAAACGGCAAAACACGTAGAGTGGTCCACTCTGAGTTTTCCTAGTTTTCCAAGTTCCTAGTTTTCCACAAAAGTTTTCCTATCTCCCAAACGCATTTAACTAAGGGGCTGTTCATAAACTATGTAGACGCTTTAGGGGGGTGGGAGCGCTTGGCAGATGTCTACGGTCCATACAATTTTTTAAATTTTGTGTTTGAGACTGTCTTCTACGGAAGGGGGGGGGGGGGTTATTATTATTATTTAACTTTATTAGGGAGGCTTTCAGCCTTGGGCTGGTTCACCTCCAATAGGGGGGGGGGTTGAAATCTCTCAAAAACCGTCTACGTAGTTTATGAGCAGCCCATACAAAAAATAATATGGACTGCAAGCATAGAGTCAGGTCTCCGTATTAAGATTTACTTCTGAATGATTTTTTTTTATGGTAAGATCAGTTGTTTCCTTATGTTATATTATATTTCCTCCGTTACTCGCGCCAACTTTTGTAACACGAGTACTCACGCGTTGTACTTTGTACAACAGTGTGAGTTTTCCATTTCCATTTTGCAGCCGAGCTACCAATCGATCTGAAATCAACGAGTATTCCTCAAAAAACTTGCTTTTAACTAAACAAGCTAAATATTTATTACAGTTAACCCCCAAAATATGCGGATAATAGAGAAAATGTAAATGGAAACCGCGTAAATGGTGTCCATACTACGAGGGTTCTGACTTAATTGGTTACAACATGGAATATCTCGAGATCCTGACCAGATAGAAAGTTACTGTCTTTGCCAAAGTAGTTCTAGAGATCATAAACTTTTTGCTGGTGGACAGTAGTTCAAAATTTACTCACTACATAGCGCTAGTATACATGTGAAGTTCTCGCATGTGATATATCTCGAAATCCTGACCAGATAGAAAGTTACTGTCTTCGAAAAAGTTGTTCAGGAGTTCAAAGCCTATAGTTCAGAATTTTTTCACTATATGGTGCTAGTATATACGTGAAATTCTCATATAAAATATCTCGAAATCCTGATCATATAAAAAGTTACTGTCTTCGGCAAAGTTGTTCAGGAAGTCAAGGCCTTTTTGCTGGTGGACTTAAGTTCAGAGTTTTCTCACTTTGCAACGCTAGTATACATGGAGAATTCTCGCATATAAAATATCTCTAGATCCTGACCAGACAGAAAGTTACTGTCTTCGGCAAAGTTGTTCAGGATGTTAGGATCTTTTCGTTGGTGTACAGTAGTTCAGAATTTTCCCTTTACGTGACAATAGTATGCGGGTCATTCAGAGATATTTTATATGCAAGGATTTCACGTGTCTTTCAACGTCACCTAGTGAGAAAATTATGTACTTTCCACCAACGATAGGGTTTGATCTCCTGGACAACTTTGCCGATTACAGTACATTTTTAGCAGGTCTTGAGATATATCATATGCGAGAAGTGTATATGTATACAAACGCCACGTGGTGAGAAAATTCTGAACTACTGTCTACCAGTCGAAAAGTCTTGACCCCCTGAACAAGTTTGCCCAATACAGTAACTTTCTAGCTGGTCAAGAACTCGAGCTATTGTATATGCGAGAATTACACGTATATACTAGCGCCTCGTAGTGTGAAATTTCTGAACTACTCCACCAACAAAAAGAGCTTGACTTCCTGAACAACTTTGCTGAAGGCATTTACTTTCTATCTGGTCAGGATCTAGAGATATTTTATACACGAGAATTTCACATGTATACTAGCACAACGAAGTGAGATAATTCTGAACTATTGTACATTAAAAAATAGGCTTTGACCTCCTGAACAACTTTGCCGAAGACAGTAACTTTCTATCTGGTCAGGATCTCGAGATATTCCATGTTGTAACCAATTAAGTCAATCCCACGTAGTATGGACACCGTTTACGCGGTTTCCATTTACATGTTCTCTATTATCCGCATTTTGGGGGTTAATTGTAATCAAAGTTTAGCTTTTTTAGTTCAAAACAAGTTTTTTGAGGAATACAAGTTGGTTTCAGATCGATTGGCAGCAACAAAATGGCAATGGAAAACTCATATGTGTTGTACAAAGTACAACAGCGCGAGCAACGGGGGGTTAACTTTTATGCATACCGTAAAACGGGGTGTAATTGATCAGCGGGGCAAAATTGATCGCTGAAATTTCTCGTGATATTTTTTCATGTGTAACATGTTTTTCGATACTAAGCGTACGAATGTATCTTTGTATACATTGTAAAAATATTATGCATAAGTACAATATTGGGTATACTCAGCGATCAAATTCACCCCACTGATCAATTTCACCCCGTTTTACGGCACCTTCTTTGAAAATTTTCCCACCTAGACGGACCTAGCAAATGCGAGATAGGAAGAAGTGACCGTCGTAATTAATTTTAGGCTCATAGGTTGAAAGAACTTCAGCATGTCCAAAATATATTCGTTCCCATTCAGTGTGTCCAAAATATATTATGGACACTGTCCAAAATCAAGTGGAAGGGTCCAAAATATGTGAATATCATGATGTGAAAAGAATTATTTTTCGAGTATATATCAATAAATAAAACATCTAGTGACATACTACATCCAAGATGAGTAGCTTTCGAACACAACCGCATGTAAATTGCATAATAATAATAAACAAATAATATTATTTTTACATAAACGTGATCTCACTTCCTCTAGGGGTCCAACATCAGTTGGTTACCCTATAATGCTAGATAATAGCATGTTTCATCGATCTGTGTTCTAATATTTTCTGGAAATGTCTTTACATGGCCATGTGGATGCACAGAGAAAGTCGACGACATGCAACAAAAAATCAGCACTATTGGTTGAAGGGCAGCCGAGAAACAGGGGTAGGTGGAAGGGACCCCCCACCGCATATACGGAGAGGTTACTGTATACTGATGGAGAAAGAAAATCGATACCCTCGACTCATTTCTGCTGTATAGATTTTCCAGTTCAAACCTACATCCATCACCTTAAATTCTAACCGATGAAAAATTAAAATTCCACATTCCGATAGGGCATTTTCGATCATTATCCTGTTTAGACAGAATTGTATTTATTTACTTACTTCTTTATTGCACCACACACCACCTCTCGTTATTCATGCCTGAGATGACTGCGATTTTGGACGCCTCCCGGTGAATGTGTATTCGAAATTCCTTTTTTTTTCTCTCGTCCCAGTTTTCCCTCGATTGACCGTCCACAATTTCTTCCGTCCACGTGAAAATGTATGTATGTGTGTATTTCGAGTCGAGAGCGTCTATGTTGTACGCGGTGAAATATGTATTATTATGTCTAGTAATAAAAAGGCTCACAAAACCGTCCACCGCACACACCTTTTTCCAATCAATTTACTATTAACGAAGGATATAAGCTGACGATAAAATTATATACAACACTTGAACTTTCCTCCGAGTATTCTTTCATTCCCTACACCCACACAAACACACCGAAAATTTTCCTTCACCAGAGTTGGGATCACACACTATTTTATTCACCTAGTAGTTGCCATACGGTTGATCACTGCTGCGATAACGACACGTTCTTAACCTTAGCACCACAAATCTTTCCCGCTGGATGGTCTTTTCTATTTATTTTCTCGATTGCTGTTCATATTTTTCGCATAGCTCCTTCCTTCACGAGTCTTTGCGGCGGCGTCGGTATGGCTATTATTGTTAGGAACGGACGCGCGCGTGGAACCACTCCCTTCAACCGTGAGCCTGAGGTCAGGTTTGCTAGAGTTCACAAGTAGTTTTATTTTTATACTCCATGAATATGCTTATAGTTTTATTTCGCTATCGATAGCCGCCTGTGCGTGAGATTAAGCTTCGGCTTTAATCCAATTAACCTCTACTAAACGGTGGCACAGTCCTTCAATCGAGTGCCTTAAATAATGCTACTACACACTTTCACTACAGGTTGGTATCACTAAGAAAGCTGAATGCTATTTCGTAGCTTTATTTTCTTGATGAAGCTATAATCCCTTCTGGTGCACACTTTTAGCAATCTACCGGTCAGATTCAATTAAGAATGTAATTAAAAATGTGTACTACTCGTTCTCACACTTTCCATCGCAGTGTTTTGCATGTGATCACGGTTTCCTTCTTCCGAGAAGCTTCACTCCTCTCTGCTGGTTCGGCAGTTCCGAGCAGATGTTTCCCCGTAATAAGTATAGTTCCGCTTTCTGCTGGCGATGGAAATTTCACAGTTTTTTCACGTCATGTTTATCACCTTTTAATTGCACACTCAGCAGCACGGTATTCCCTGCTCCCTCGGGGATCCTGCTGCCACTGCTCTAGAACTTCCTTCGGTCGGCATCTCCCGAGATGACTGGTTGAGCCTGGAACCGTGAAAGGACCGTAGTGCGATGATGGTGATGGTGATGACGATGGTGATGGGCTGTCATCACCGGCGACCCTGTTGACGAGAGATCAATTTGAATTGTAAATTATGCGCATGCATAAAACTTGCTCATGTACGTTTTACTGCTAATTGCCGGTATACACAGGTAATGGTTAATGGTACCAGCTTAAGCGTACCGGCTACACGTATGGACGGAGACTGAGAGAAGATGAATTTGCTTAGCAGGGAAATATGTGTATAGCAGTTTAAAGCTTAGTAGCGAAACTGTTTAGCATATTGTTAGCTCTTTTAATTCACTTTCCGCAGGACTTATCACATGCTTTAGGGAATGTTCTGCTGGTGAGTCAATGCACTTGAACGAATATGATGTCATTTCGCGCATCAAATCCTACCATGCGTTCCCAGGGCAATGACTTTGATGTATTAAATGATGAAAAAACAAGTTATTATGAATGTCAGCTTACCACGACATACATTTTATTTACTCATATCCTTCCAGCAGGACAGTACTGCTACTATTATTATTTTAACATCCAGGCAAGATCGAAGATTGATATCTTTGGTAAAGGTGTTAAGTGAATTAGTTCGATTTTCCCCTACACGCTATTTTGAGGCTACCCAATGACTGGGTAGATTGCACTCAATTTTGCATGCTGTATAGAGTTGTCTACTCAGATTCTAGGTAAATGATTCTGATATCATTTTTTCCTAAGCTCAAAATGGCGCAGTAGGAATTTGTGAACAGACAACTTTTGCGCAGTGAGTCTAAAATTTGTTTTAAGAAGTGAAGCAGTGAAAATGGAGCAGCTACGTAATGGCCTGGATGGTGAAAGCTATCGGCTAGCTAGTTGGTGAGGTATACAACTCTAACAAATAGTTCGCGGGTATCAATAAATACAGAATTATCATTTTTTTATAATTTATATATAATTTATATATAAAGCATTCATGGGGCATTGATTCGTTTCTATCGAAATGGATAACATTTACAGAAACAGAAAAAAATACACTTTTCCCATACGGTCTCTTACTCATAATTAATTATATCTTAACTCATGCGTATGATTAAAAAACTGTGTGCAACAAAGTTTAAGGAAATTAATTGGGCTTTTTGTTAATAATACTTTCAAGATTGGACACTCACGAATAACATCTCAAAAGGGCGAACATTTCTCAAAATATGCGATAAGTGAAATATAACCATTAGTATCTCGAAAATAACAACTTTGGGCAATTTAAACTTATTTTTTCAATAATTCATAAGTTTTTTGTTTATGATTTGCCCAGCAAATGCACAGTGTCAGTAGGTAATACTTTATCTAAACTAAAAAATAAATATAAATAAAAATAATTTAAAAAAAAAGTATGTAATTTGAGTAATTTTAATTTTTTTTTTTTTTTTTATAATTTAGATTTTTTTTGTAAAAAAAATAATTTTTTACTGTGTATACTTTTTTCTTGGAAGGCACAATACTTGTCCGCAGCTTCGCCTAAGATACCATCTCGATCAAACAAATCGTTCACGAGATATATATTTTTCTATTGATGCGTATCATTTTTGCATAAGCCCTTTTCAAGTGTTAGTCGTGTGCAAAACTAGGGAACCTTATATGTAAAATGGCATGTTGGGCAATAACAAACAACTGTGCAAAGTTTCATCATAATCGTAGAAGGTCGATCCGAAACGATTTGCGTACCTGTGTGAAACTGCTCTTCTACAATCTTGACCTACACACATAGAAAAATTCATGTAAATTTAGGTGCTCTGAGACTGACATATACGAGCGTCAATTTTGACATAAAGTTGAGTCATAATAGACGCAAAATTCAGTTCAATCAAACGTACTTTTCGTCGAGTAACGAACTGTTCAGCAGTGCGCAAAACAGTAAGGTTCATTGAGTCATTTTGATATGAATATGAACTGCCATCTGCCTCATCATTCACTGACTCGTGACAGTCTGAATGATTCAGAGTTAAACGAGTCACTGACACTGACAGCCGAGCACTCAGTCAGTAGCTCAGTCAACACGTTTATTCTTCTGTGATGGTACCCAATACAGTCAGGAATCCTTATTGCCGGATTCCTTATTGCCGGTATCCCTTATTACCAGATCCTTATTGCCGGGCTATCCGCGAACATTAAAAAACTTACCAACAACTTATGGGATTTTCACTAATAGGGGCTGTGGTGGATTATCTCATTTGTTACAATATATAGAGCTATACTCTCTTGGACAAAGTTGTTGTACTGAGATAGACCAACAAGCCTGTGTCATTGGATTCTACATTGGGAACTACGCCGCTAGGGACACTTCACTTTTATGTTACTTATGACGGGTGCTATAATATATGGATCTTAGGTCCAACATACAATATTTCGTGATCCTGGCCATATAGAAGGTTGCTGTCTCCAGCAAAGTTGTTCAGGTGACCAAGTCCTTTCGGATGGTGGTCATATTATTTAAGAACTCTCTCACTACGTGGCGGTAGTGTGCACATTAACTTCCTTAATATGTTATTTCTGGATAGCTTGTCCATATAAGATGTTGCTGTACAATGCGAGGACACGAAACGGAATAGGGATGACGTGTAGAGAGGCTGTAAATCGATCTCGGACGCAATTTTAAAATCCAAGACGGCGGTCATCGATTCAAAAAACTGTCAAATACTCTACAATATGGCTATTTCCGGAAAGGTAACGACGTGTAAAGGCTGTAAATCGATGCCAGACGTCATTTTGGAATCCAAGATGGCGGCCATCGGTTCAAGAAAAACTGTCAAATACCCTACAATATGGATATTTTCAGAAAGGGGATGACGTGTAGAAGCCGGAAATCGATGTCAGACGTCAGTGGTAATTTTTATACGATAGATGGAGTAGATGAAAGCATAGAGTTGATAGTTCCGTTAGAGTACGGCAGTGTGAAGATTGCATATAGATGTTAGAACAGCGAGCTAGGACAACTTTTATGGAAGGTACAAATCGGTTTTTTTCATCTCTCTTTACCAAACTCCCCCTTTGGAGAGGGATGGTGAGGGGTGTCCCCCCTATATCGTGGTAGGGGTAAACAATAGTTGCAACTGAAGTGCGGTAAAAAATCGGTAGAACTGTTTCAAACACACAGTTGGTACTTGAGCGGGTCGGTTTTCATCTCTTTTTGCCAGTGGTGGCGTGGGGGGGGGGACACACCCCTCACCATCCCTCTCCAAAGGGGGAGTTTGGTAAAGAGAGATGAAAAAACCGATTTGTACCTTCCATAAAAGTTGTCCTATAGCTCGCTGTTCTAACATCTATATGCAATCTTCACACTGCCGTACTCTAACGGAACTATCAACTCTATGCTTTCATCTACTCCATCTATCGTATAAAAATTACCACTACAGTCTGTTATTTGAAATTAGCATCTTCAACTATGTAAATCGTTGACTTCACGTAGAAGTAATACTAAAACATATAGTCAAAGCTATTCCGTGTTTAATTCGCTTAAAAATGGTTTGCAAAAAATGCCAAAAAACCATTTTGAGCTCCAAACGCATCGTTTTTCATGAATTGTGTGGCCACACATTACACGCACTTATTCCTTTATGTCAGTTCCTAGCTGCCTGATCTTTGGCAGCAAGATTACAGACCACAAATGGTATCTTTATTACCAAAAACCAGGTATCAAGATATCAAAAAAAAAATGCCGGCAAAAACTTCATCCGCAAACATTGGTACCTCTCTGATTATATCATCAATAGGGTGCCAATGGAGGAAAAATTACCATCAAATTTAAAAAAAAAACACCCCCTACTAAATGTGAATTGCCACGAAAAACGACCCTTTACCAAATCTGACCTCATTCGGACTTGATTTAGAGGTGGTGTAAATTTCGAAAATTTCCTAAGCCTTACCCCCGTACATGAAATTATGGAAATCGAAATTGTTTTTTTTTTTCTTGCCAAATGGTTTAAAAATTCATGAAACGTCAAGATTTGGTGTTATCTCGAAAAAAAATATGTTTTGTCAAAAATCGACTTTCTAGGATTTTACTGAAAATATCATCAGGGTGTATTCTGGAGTTGTTCAAAGTCATCTTGTCAAACTTCATTCAAGGTATTTCATTTACATTAGCTTTAATTGTTTGAGGCTACATTAGGGTGATTCATATTAATTCCATTAGGTACTTACAGACAAAAAAAAGCAGAAATATATATCGTAGAGTAATTCCAAAAAATTTACAGAGGGTAAACAGTAGGGTGTCCCAAAATTGCACTACGTCTGGAAATCTGGGGGCTCACCCTCCAAATGATAGCTAAGGGTAACTTTATACTTTCATCTCCTCATCTATCGTATAAAATGTCCACTTTAAGTCTGATATTTGATGTTAGGCATTTCCAACTACATTTATGTTACTTTAATTCCATCAAACCATTCCCAAATTGTAACTACCATAAAGCGGACCGGTTTTTATGACGTTTATTATTGCTGATCAATTGACAGCTGCCTACTCAAGGGTGTTTCGCCGCTTCAAATACTGACAATCCGGTGAAAGACACAAAGGAATCGAATGTTCGGATTATGTACATACTCTCGGGTGGAAATTTTATCGTTTTTAGAAAATTGATGGTACGATCTTGATTCATTTTGCACGGATTGTAACCGCATCGGGAGAGCAACATGAACGATCCGTCAATCCGTCAATGGGATGGGGCTAAGGGTAGTTATCACTCAAACACAATCATGCCATCACGGGCGTTCTATATAAAATGCCATAAAAGTAAAGGCTCGTTTTATGATTTAGAACAATACATACAATAGCCTGATTGGAAAGAGGGGATGAGGTGGCTCCGAGCTTTACTGGTGGATGGTCCATTAAGTGGAGAAAATTTTGTCGTCGTAAAAGTTGCAACGTGACACCCTTTTGGACAGTTTATGGTCTCGCATTAAATGTATAATAGAAAGGTAGCTTGGAGAATTTTAAACGGTGATTATATAGAAAAATGTGAATTAACAAGCTTAGACGTGGGAGATTCTCTACCGGATCGAATGGGACAGTTGTAAATAATTATT